CACGAGTTCCACAAACACGAGCAGAAACACCATAGGGATGACCAAGGCTGGGTAGTCGAAGGCCAGACTGTCAGATTGGATTGGGCCCCAAGGACCAATCTGGCCTGGCCAAACTGGATAATTTGGGTTATCCGCCAGACTGGATCCGCGCTGGCTCCCTCGCCAGATTGCCCCCGTTTGCCAGATTGGGCCTGCCAGATTGGCGCCAGATTGGCTTCGACTACCCAGCAAGGACCGTACCTGTATGATGTGGCCCAAGCCTTCCGAATTTCGCCATTCAGAGTGAACCGTGTAGGCGTTTGACAGGAAATGTCCTCAGGGTCTGGACCCTGGCACAATTCTTAATCCGATTTTTTTGGGTGGCGTAGATTGTTGCGGCGTGGCCCCCTATTCAATTAGCACCAGCCCGCCAGAACGCTCCAAGCAGCACGCGAAACAATAGCATGTGTGTAAGTACTCCGAGTATAGTCTTTGGGTGGAGGGCCGAGGGTGGAATCTGCATTGCCGTTTGTCCCAAAACATCGCCGCCCATCAATATTATCCACCATGCAGTTGCGCGCGCATGTTGTGGCAGTGAGGCAGTCGAGGAGTTCTGTGCCGAGGCATGCTTGAGTCGACCGGGCGTATCGCCGTATTTAACGAAGGGCCCTTCCGGGCTCCGCTCGGGGCCGGCTCCCGTCGCACTCAGAGAGGCTTGGGACTGCACTCACTTGCGTGCGTCTTCTCCCAAACAGCCACAAGTGGTTGTAGAACAGCGAAACGAATTGTATAATGCAAACCGAGTCGGGGGAAGAAATGCACGGACCATGACCAAGATGTCGCGGGATTTTGTCCATATTAGTTTTGGTCATGGTCCATGTCGGCCGTTGCCGATCCGCGAGGATGATGCACGAATTGACGCTGTCCAACATCGACGCTGAGCAAGATCGACTCGGCGATTCCGCGTTCAGTGTTGGTCATGGTCCCCGTTATCTTCCCCTCCACGAAGTTCTAGAACCACTGCTCGCGTACTAGAAGCTCAGACCTTGTCCATGAACGGACGCCAGAGTTCTAGAATTTGGCATGATATAAATTCATGAGCCGGCAATCAGTTCCACAACGGCGAAGCCAAAGCCATAACGAATGATGAGGTTATGTGTCACCGCGAACGACCCTAGACTTGTAAATTCTCCTACAGGTGCCAGCCGCGTGCTCTTGCGGGCCGCGGCGCATACCCGCTTGTTCAGGTAGATGCTGGGCGTGCTCGGGAAACACGAGGGCCCCGAGCGATCGCTCCCGTTCCATGTGAGGGCCCCATACACATGAAAGGAGTTTGCGTATTGGATTTCACCATGAGGGGTCGCCACATTGGCATAGCAGTTGAAGCCCAACGCTGCACGTACGCACGCCGATACACAACATCTGGCTCATCTTGTGAGTCCCCAGTCCACTCGACGAATGGGCATTCGACGTGCAAGCGCCTATGTGGATTTCACCCCTAGCCCTGCAGCCCAAAGAGTGCTGAGGCATTGCGTTGGACGGAATGGCTCGCACGACGTGCCGCTTTTCGCTTACCGCAGAGCACGCAGAGCACCACGCGACACTTCACCGCGCCACACGTAATCTGGGCAGGACATGGCACTGCACCGACGAGGCACACACATCCTAGCGCTTTTTGCTTATCACAAGGCCTCGCACCGGCGCGCAGCATTTCACGGCGTCGCACGGCACTGCGCGGCACGGCAAGGCACGGCAGGGCTCAATCCCATGGCACGGCACACCACGTGTCCAACCAGCTCTCGTTGTTTCCTCTGAGCAGTTTGTCTGCAAGTGATCGTTCTCTTATTCGTTGTTATGCCGATCGGAGCGGGCCCTCGCACCCCCTCCCCCCCCTATGGAGTAGATCTTGGCTGGTCTCGGCGCCTGTTTCAAGCAGGTGGAGTCTCCCCCATAGGACGCACTGTAGCAAGCAGTCGCATCAAGCAGAGGTCCAGAGCCAGACCACCCCTTCCCCCCCCCTTCCGCCCAGTGTCGAAACGCCGAATCCACGCCATAAGGAAACGTTCACCACAGGTTTTGTATTACGCGCATGTACGTGTTCCCCTGAGCAGCCTGTCTGTAAGAATTCTATACGCTTCCCCAGCCCAGCCTGCCTGCAAAGGTTCTGCCGAGGTTCCCGAACTGAGCCAGTACCTGCGCTGCCGGATCCAGCATCGGGGCGGGCGGCGTTGCCTCCCGGCGCCTCCCGTGGCCTCCCGTGGCCTCCCGTGGCCTCCCGTGGCCTCCTTCGGGGCCTCCCGTGGCCTCCCGGGGGCTCCCGTGGGCCTCCCGGGGGCCTCCCGGGGGCCTCCCGTGGACCTTCCGTTGCTGCAGAGGCTCTTCCGGCGAGCTCCGCTGGTGGCGCAGGTGGCAGAGTGTCGGGACGCCCTTCGGGGCCGCCCGGGCGGAGCCTTCGAGGCCTGCGCAGACGGCAGGAGGCCTTGGCTTCCCGTCGCCGTCGCTACACCCCTGGCCCTATCCCCATCCCTCTATCCATATCCCTCTATCCCTATGTTTGGTGCCCCTCTGTTGATCTCCTATGTCCCTATCCCTGCTAGTACTACATCCCTAGCCTGGTATCCTTGCCTCTACGACCACACTTTGGGTGGTAAGGAGGTCTGGGCGGACGGACCAATGTCTCACTCAATCGACCCCACCATCGATCTCACTAACGATCCCACTATCGATCTCACTAACGGTCTCACTAGCGGTCCCACTAGCGGTCTCAAGAACGATCTTATTATAGATGTCACCATCGAGCGCACTGTCGATCTCACTCACGATCTCACTGTCGATCTCACTACAGATCTCACTGTCGATCTCTCAATCGGTCTCACTATCGATATCACTATCGATCTCACTATCGATTGCACTAACGATCTCACTATAGACCTCACTATCGATCTCTCTGTTAATCTCACTATCGATCTCACTGTTGATCTCACTATCGAGCTCACTATCGATCTCACTCGATCGATCTCACTGTCGATCTCACTGTCGGTTTCACCATCGATCTCACTACGGGACACCGACGGGACTCCGGCGGGACACCGCCTGGACACACCCAGCCACCGCCGGACAACCTGGGGTGGGGCGGTCTTTTTGCCCGGCGGCGCCCTGGCCAGAGAAGGGTTTATTCTTTCAGCTCGCCCGCGTAGCATTGCTCGCCCACACGTGCGACACGAACACGAAACCGAAACCGATGTTCCGGTGGGGTGTTCTCCGTTTCATTGCGACCTCACCCCTTCACCTCCGAACCCCATCCCCAACCCAATCCCGATCCCGATCCTTTTGTCCCTATCCCTGTATCCCTGGCGCTACATCCCTGCGCCCTATCCCCATCCCCGTCCGTACCCCGATCCTACCCTCGTGGCCCCCCATCGTGGCCTCCCATGATGCCTCCCTGTTGTGACTCCTCGTCGTGGCCCCCACTGGGACCGTGTAGGATTGCTTTGGATCTTCTGGCGCTTCTACGGTGTCGTCTATGGGAAAGCTGGTAGGTGCGCGGCCAGAGCTAGACTCAAATCGGGCATGTCCTTCTACAGGAGGAATGTTCAGAAAGAATGGTAAGCAAAACAATCAGGGGGCGATTTTTTTTATCCCATGTTTGATCGTTCTCGAGTGCTTTTTTTCCCCCCCCCTGTCCAGAATCCGCCACGCCCGACCCAAAGCTGGACTCGGGGTGGGCGGCGTTGGCTCCCGTGGCCTCTCTCGTGGCCTCGCGTGGCCCACGTCGTGGCCGCCTTCGTGGCCTCCGTCGTGGCCTCCTCCGCGGCCGCCCGTGGCCGCCTCCCGTGGCCTCCCGTTGCCGTCCCCGTTCTCGTCCCCATCCCCATCCCCATCCCTCCATCCCCATCCCTCCATCCCTATCCCTCCGTCCCTATCCCTCCATCCCTATCCCTATCCCTATCCCTCCATCCCTCCATCCCTTCATCCCCCCATCCGTGTCCCTGCCCCTTTCGTCCACTCCATCGATTTCCTGTGGTTTATATCCCCATCTCCACCACCATCCCGATCCTAATCCTATACCTATATCCCTGTCCCTATGTCCCGAGCCCTGTTTCTAAGCTCTTTATTCAAGAGGCTTACGCCATTCCACCGACCCGCAGAAGAGGGAAGGAGTCCGCGGGCCAGGCCATTTGGGGCCTCTTGGGGACCCTCAAGGGGCCTCTTTTGGGCCTCTTGGTGGCCTTTGGGCCCCTTGGGAATTTCTTGGGCGCCTACTGGCGGTCTTTGGGATCCTCTTGGGGCAGAGGGTCAGAATGTCAGCTCGAGTTGCCTCTCTTTGGCTCCTCTTGGGACCCTTTTGAGGCCCTCTTGGGCCATCTGGGACGCCTCTTGGGCCGTCTTGGGACCCTCTTCGGCCGTTGTGGGGCCCTCTTGAGGCTTCTTGGGCCGTCTTCGAGCGATCGTGGGGGCCTCTTGGGACGTCTTAGATGCTGTTAAGACCAAACATGAGAATATGCTACACATACGCTTTCTTACCAGATTTGGGCGGTTCTTGCTTCTCGAGGTTCTCTCGCGGGTGGTCTTGGAGCCTTCTTGGGGCGTCTTTGAGGCCGCTTGGGCAGTCTTGAGGCCATTTTGGTCGTCTTTGAGGACTCCTCGGCGTGTTGGATCCCAGTTTGAGCCAGTTTAGATGGCATCTTGGGCGTCTTGGAGGCCACGGAGTGTAGCTTTGGAAGTTCCAGAGGCCCTTGGGGAGCGTTGGAGAGCTCGTCTCCCCCACCCTTCCCCCCCCTCCCGGGGGAAAAGGGGTATTGGGGGAGAGCCAAATGTTTCACACGCCTCTTCACCTCCAGCGAGTGGGGATCGGCGGATTAGCATGCACCCCCTGCCCCATCCGACTAGCGACAAACCCAGGACCATGCGCCCCCCCGGCCATCCATGTCACTCAATAGTGCAAAAATACACTTTGCACCCAAATCTCGATCACGCGCCGACGTCCTGTGACCACTTTGCATTGGTTTTTGACAGGGGCC